GTTACCGTTTGCTTGAGCGATCCAACAATTTATGACGGAGAGACGAACGGATGCCACGGCTAGTTATTTTTTATTGATGGATAGAAAAATATTACTTTTCAATAATTTCATCATCAAAACTGACAAACTATATCTCCCTTTTCTAACCAAAGTGGACCAAGGAAAAGTTCGTGATGTCTTATCATAAATCTTCGAATACATTTTTCTTGTATTTTAAATGAACTTTAATTAAATCAAATATGTGGCATTGTGATCGACAATCCTTAGTCATGTTGCTCATAAAACAGTTATCCCAGCTCTGTAAGCGCTTCTAGCATTTCTAATCCAACAACTGAACCGCTATTAAAAAAAATCTATAGAGCATTCGGGCGAATCTTACGATCCTTTTCTAACTTGATTGCCATATGTTATTGATTTTTTTATCGTCTCTTATCCATCTCTAGGAAGATCTAATTGATTTCTTTCCCTTTTAACACATGATTTTCATAGGTGATCGATTTTTATCGCTAGTTATTCATTTCTCCTTTTTTCCGCCCTAGCAGAGTTTCGCACGGAGAAACATGATCCATTATATTGCTCGCTGTTAAGTTGTAATCATGTGGGGCGCACACTGCTAACCATACGATGCATGAATATCGAGCTTGACCTTGTATTCAATTAAATAATGCAAAAGTTTTTTTTAGTCCCTGCTTAGTTTAGTGCCCGCATTCGTAATCGTTTGAAGAATTCCATCAACTTTACAAACAATTGACCGATCAGAGCGGGCCACGTCTTTAATGGGCCGAGAGTAAATTGCACATTTACGTGATTATGTTTTTTATAAAGGACTTTTGCAGTGAACGCCGGGAATTTCTCATAAGTCCGTGAAACATTATCGCCTTAGTTGACCGAATGCTGTGACCATCGAGAATTTCGGCAGAATTTTGGCTCGGAATTAATGGATATCCCAATATTTTCCCTTTTCTTAGTTACTTATGGATTGCTACCTTTCGTAAATCTTACTAAAGTTATGCGACCACAGAGGTATCTGTTGTGTAAAACGGCACGATTTTTTTCTACTTCAGATAGTATTTGCTTAGTTGAAAAACTTGAGTTAGAAAGCTTTAATTGCCTTAGCGCAAATTTTTTCTTCACTTTCTTTAAAAGTGGAACGTGTCAATTGCGAAATGGATTGTTTCCCGAATATCTGTCGGTAATAATAAATAAAGCAATTATATGCGGAATACAACATAATGATTACAATGTCGCCTAACTATATACTTCAGCAGTAGTTTTACTCACACCTCCCCGCTCATTTAATTTAATCGTTAAGTATTTGCCTACGAGTTGTTGAAATTAACTTAACACCTTTGCCGTCTTTGCAGCTCTCTCCTTCACGACATATTCTTCAGTTAATAAAACTAATGAAACTATGGATGTGTGAAAGGACCAATAGCTACCTCTGTACTTCGTAGAAGCAGCGTCTGCGTTTAGCATCAATACTCCGCAGAGGAACGGTAAGAGAATCGGGGAGTAGCCGCAACCTAGCGCCGCAATAAATGTTGTGCCTTTACTGTCTAAGCACTCACTGTAGCTACGAAAAGTGTAACTTCAGTTTAGTGAATACTGTTAAACTGCTACTATTTCCTAAAAATACGCTTTGTAGACTTTGCCGATAAAATGACAGCCTTGGGATAGGCGTTTATACCTTTATTTGACATTTTACTAAGGTTGAATTCAGTCCATAAATAGTTTGATCTCGCTTAGAGCGAGCGAACACTCCCTCTATTTGAACTCAGAAAACGGTTAATTTCTCTTCCCACGTTAGAGAAATGGCGCGTTTATCTTGGTGTCCTTTCCATTCTTAAGTTAATAAGGGGTGATATTTGCTCCACGGAACTGCTAAGTAATACTGCTTTTAAAGTTCCTAGTAAGTGCATTTCGCATTGTTTGCCCATTCGATTATTGCTTTACAGGATGAATTATAGACTTCATAGTCCACTTCGTCCGCTTTGCCGAATGTACAATGACAATTGTGAATGTTTGATGCTACCATAGATTCTTATGAAATTGTAAAAATTTGCTTGTTAAGACCTTAAATATCATATCTTCCTCTTTTATATTGAGTATCATTGTATCTGGGATAAAAGTGTTGGCAGAGTTTCATTTAAGATGTACACATCTGTCTCCTTCTTCTTTTACTGTATTTTAAATTCATTTGGAAATGTACTCTGTTCTATTTGTGGGGAACTGCTGATTTAGTTATATAACTTCTGCCTATTCTGCCGGTTCAAGATGTTCGTTTCGTTCGAAGATTTTAGAGGTACCAATTATCCAGAAATTTAAGTCTAGTCCTTTTCGCCTTTTTACGTTAATACCTCTGCCGTTAAATGATGGTTTTCACGTTAGCGTGGCGATTGGCCAATAAATTCAAGAAGTGGAATTTTTTGGTGTAAGGTAATAGTGTTTTCGGTCCAATCATCACAATTAATCGGTCGTAATGGTACAATTACGAAATTCCGAATCGTTTGAAGAAGAAACGAAGATCAACATTAAGATTAAAACTAAAAAGTCATCATTCTACCTCTTTTAGTCGATTTTCAATATGGATCTTTCATTTCTTACCGTACGCTCCTCTTAGTTCTTCAATGTAATCATAATCAATATAAAACTCCCGTCTTAATGCGTAACAGAATATATAATGGGCAGAAACCTGAAACACTTGTCCAAAAAACCAAACCAAATTTAAAAATGGATGTGGCACGTCCTTAAACTAAACCAGAAAGAGACTAAAAAGCCAATTGCAGTTATAGATCGGACTCTTAATTAAAAAATGTGAATGAAAATGACTTAAATTAAATGCTGATATGTCTTGATCGTCTTCCTCGATCGATCCGACATTTAAATTAAATAATAACTAAAATCACATTCTGTCCGTTGATCGATCCTTACTTTGCCGAAATTCTTCTTAACGCATAATTTAGTTTGGGAAGCTAAAGCTTTCAATTTATTTTAATTGACATTAAAAATGATTTGCGATATGAAAAGGAAAAAATTGAATTTACTTATGCTTTGGTTTTGTTTTTTTTTTTCCATAAAAAGGGCGAATGCAGTCTAAGTGATAGACACCAAAAGGATCGACTTATATCGTGCTTATAGCCGCCTTCTTTTATGTTGCTTTCTTTCGTTTTTTATTTATAATAACAACTTGTTGTGTTTTATTGATATTTGTTGTTGCTGTTGTTATTGCTGTTCTTACTTGAAACATTTACATGTCTAATGATTTTTCACACGTTTTTTTGGTCTAGAAAATACACTGAGAAAAAACACACGAAAATCCTATCACATTGCAGTGGAATTGAATCTTCATCACTTTAAGTAACACAAGGAGAAGAAAATTCCCGGAGAAGAACTTCCCGGTCTTTCTGCGCAAGCGACCAAAGTTGCAAGTTGGAGATTTTGCAGAGTAAATAAAAAAAAAACATTATTAGATCAATGTAGAAGTAAGGAGTTTATGATAACGAGTTAGTGACGAGTGTTTTAAATAAGAGGACGAAACATTTGAATAGAATCATTAAAGGGGGTAAAGGGGAAGATATTAAAAAAAATTCTTTTCACTTTTGTGTCTCTCTGTATCACTAATCTCTGTATCAAGAAGTGTCATCCTTTTAAAGCTGGGTGAGTTTACAGCTCAGATGGTCAATCGCACATTGGGTTTAGAAGCTTGCGATCGAGAAGGCATATTTGAATATTTTTTTACAGCAAATTATGCTAGGAGTGAAGAAGAAAATTAAACCCTCCATTTTACCGTTAGCGCTAAGGTAAAATACGAGAACATCATTTTTCGCGATCAAGAGGTCGAGGTGATTAGGTGATCGTAAAGTTAAGATGGGGAATGGGGGATCGGAATAATGATACGTTCAGTTTGAAAATGGCTTTGAGAACAAGGTCTCATGATGTAGAATTCATTTTTATTTGGAGTTATCTATAAGAAGAAGAATTTGCGCTGTAATCTTGAGAAGCACTTTGTAAATTCACTTCAATTCTCAATTTTCAATAGTCTCACGGACCTGAAAAATGTCCCTCTAAAGCGATGAGCCAAATGGGGGCAACATTATTGCTATAGGCAAGGTTGATAACCAACAGATTGTTTTCTTTGCTGTGAGGAACCATTCACGCGATGTTCTTTGTGTGTATGTGCGTGTGCGTGTGTAAGCGGCGCTGGCCTCGAAAGATTACAGCTAGGAAGGGGAGAAAAAAAGGAGGAAAAAAGGAAAGGATGGAAGGTAGACGCAGCCTGACATCTGAAACAACCAAATGATGTTTTTGTGAGATGATCAAGAGATCGTTACCGGCTAGCATGTCCCTTAGCCTTCAGCAAGAAAGCGGTTCGGTCTAAAGTGGTCATTATCTTTTTCACTTTACTTTTCTTCAATAATTTGATTTGTTTCGTAACAGCTGTCGTTCAGTTGAACGATTTGGGGTTGCTTAGGCTTGCCAAAGCCATAGGCGTTGAAATATACTCTCTTAGCTTTCGATGGGATTAGCGTGGGACAATCTTGACGATATTGATCTTCAGATCTGTCGATCGTAAAACTCTTCTAGATAGCAAAAGGCGATTCTAACAGTGCTACGCTTTCACGGTTTCAAAAGAAACGTGAAACTGTGCAGAATAATGGAAGGCGGGGGCAACCGTTTATTTTTTTTATTTAATTTTTTTTTTCCTCTTAATAATTTTCCCGCTTTACATCTTCTCAGTGTATTTGCTTCAAAGAACAAAAAAAAAAAAAGAATAAATTTTCAAAAGCCACAGCAATAACAACAATAACAACAACAACAGCAATAGAATCAACACTTTTTTCGAAATGAACCGCATTAAAAAAAAAAAAAACGGTTAGATAACAACTCAATGAAAATTTTATAAAAATAAAAAATTAAATAAAAAAAAAGTTTTTTTTTTTTTATTTGTTTTGTTTCCGAAATAATAGCCTCGAGAGGCTTTATTTCAGCTGAAACTTTACCTGAACCTTTGGCGGAGTATCCACTTTATCCGGTCGTTTGATATTAAGAAACGCATTACGTACATCGGGGCATTTTTCAAACATTAAAACACGTTCGGCGACCGAGCCACGCGTTAAAAAATTACTGCGCACTATAAAAACAAAAAATTTACTTAAGGGTTTTGAACAAAAAAAAAAAAAAAATATTTGTTTTCGTTTTTTCTTTTTTTAATTTTTAAATATTTTTTCATATATAATTTTCAAGAATTACAATTTTTCTCTTGGCCATTGCTTAAAGCATTTCGTGTTGTTTTCACTTTAATGGGTGTTGGCATCGTGGTGCTGCTATTGCTGCTATTATTACTACTAATGTCGCTAACATTAACATTAGATTGCTCGTCCATAGGGCTCGTTAGAGAGCTATTAACTGCTAATGTTGTTGTTGGTGTTTTTGTTGTTGCAGATGCGGGTGCGGGTGCTAGTGCCGGGGCTGATGCTGGTGCTATAATCTCAATTAAGGACTGCGGTCCCCGGCTATCCTTTATTAGCGTTGCTTTACTATTTTTTATAACTTTTCCAGTTTTAGAAGATTTACTATTTATTATTGGTGTTGTTGGTGTTGTTGTTGTTGTTGTTGTTGTTGTTGCTGGTGTTGTTATTATTGTTGCAGTTGTTGCTGTTATTGTCGTTGTCACCGCTGTTGTTATTATTGTAGAAGTTACAATATCCTCTGTTGTTAGTGCTAATGATTTGTTAAAATCAAAAGCATTGCCCGCTTGATTTGCTATAACTTGATCAACTAAGAGAAGCGGCGTGGTTGTGGTTATTGGTGCTGCGGAAGATGTTAAAATATTTGTATTCTCTGCACTTGTATGGGTGATAATGTTCACGTTGCTGTTAATGATATCGTCGTTGCTGCTATTATTGACGCAGCTGCTACTACCACTGCTAATACTAACACTACTACTACTACTACTACCACCACTCGAACCACTACTACTGCTACTACTAGTACTGCTATTGCTACTACTACTATTACTATTACTACTACTACTACTACTTATGCTAGTGCTATTACTTTTACCAGCATTTTTATCATTCATTATCAATTTCTCATCGGCGTTTATTAGATCTTTTTCTCTTTTCGAATTAAGGTCGTTTGTTTTTATTCTTTGCATTTCCTTTAATTTCTTATTAGCCGGCATTTCGCTTGCTGTTAACATTTCTCGAATTGTTGTTGTTGTTTCATTATCATTTCCATCATCATGCTTAAGCCTTTGCCTTAGATCGTCAATCAATGGCGCCGTTATTATGTTTGTAACTTTTGCCGATTGCTTCATCTTAATTGAATGTTCGACTCCCGCCCCTCCTCCTCGGCCCTGATTGGAATTGTTAGTGTTGATAGTTAGCGTCGGGATTTTTGTGGGTATCTTGGCATTGCTTTGATTTAATAAATCTTTAATTTTACGTAAATTTTGATTTTGCATTTCACTTAACTGTTTAACATCTAAATTTAGATCCAATTTTAAATCTAAATCAATATCGAAATTTAAATTTTTCTCCAAATGAGCGGTCGCTTGCGAGGATACCGGCACTTTAGTGACATGTGGCGCCGTATTCATCATGACTTTCTTTGGATTGCCATTTAAATTAGTTGCAGACTTCGTTACACTATCTAAAATATCGGTAGAGGGTTTCGATGATTTTGTATTGAGTTTAATTTTACTAGAGGTTATCTTTTGGCCAATTTCTGACTGATATTGATTTTGGGGTTCGTGAGCATGGAGTTGTGAACGTATTGGCATTTGTTGTTGTTGTTGTTGCTGCAAAGGCTGAAGTGGCTGTTTCAATTGCAAGTAGGATTTTTGTTGCTGGTGTTCTTGATACTGAGGGGATTTCAATTGTTGTTGCAGGCTCTGCTGCATATGTTGTCCTTTTTGCTGTTGCAATAGCTGATTATGCTTTACTTGCTGTTGTTGTTGTTGAGGATGTATTGATGGCTGCACTTGTTGTTGTTTCTGTTGCTGTGTTTGCTGATTATGCTTTAATTGCTTTTGTTCAAGTTTAAGTTGTTGCGGATATAGTAATTGTTGCTGCAAATTTTGTGATAATTGCTGCTGTTGTTGTTGTTTTTGCTGCTTTGATTGTTGACTATATGTCTGATCATCAAGTTTAAGATGTTGTTGTTGTTGTTGCTTTTGTAAACTGCCTATCCGGCTACTATTAACGACACAGCTGTTAATCGCTTGCTTACTATTGTTAAAAATTAACGTCGATGTTGTTGATGTTAATACATTCTGTGAAATTGGGGACACTAGCGATGATGATGATAATGATGGCATTTTCGAATTCGACGACAAGCTGGTCGTTGCCGTTACATGATCACTTAATTGATACTTGATTGTCGCTGCTGTTGTTGTTGTACATGTTTTTACTTCCGTATTACTAGAGGTTGCTGTTGTTGTTGTTGGTGCTGCTGTTTTTGTTGTTGCCGTTTTTTTAACTTTGCCACGTTGCTCTTTATCTTTAATTACAAATGTATTCACCAATTTTTGTAGACCTTCGGTACTTTGTAATTCCTCTTTACTAGCGCCGGCAGCTTGGGCCGCTTCAACTGTATAGAATTCTAGAATTTCTGCCGGCGGTACTAAACCACGATTTTTCCACGTACGATATAAAGCGTCGGCATGTTCAGAGATCTTTTTCGATATCTCCTCAATTTCCAAACTATCGGATTTGCTAACAATCGTTGCGTTACTAATCGTTGCACCCGATGGTGAATTTTTCGTTTTCAGAAGCGGCGATTTAGTTTGCGAGGTTGTAGTCATGATTTTATTACCGGTGGTAGAGTGCATTTTTATGAAATAATTTAGAAAAATAAATAATAAATTTTTTTTTTTTTCAATATTTAGTTTTCTTTTTTTTTTTTTTTTTTTTTTCTTAATTAGCGGCACTTTACAGATGACTTTTCACATTTGGCTTGAGAAAAGAATACAAATGAATATCTTCTTCGGCTTTTTGATTTAAGTTATATATTACATGATTTTCTTTTTCAATTTTATTTCCTTCGTTAAATCATTCCTATGCATATTTGTACGCAAAACGGAGATCAGCTCTTATGTGTGCTGGTATTTAAGTATAAAAATTTTGTATTTCATCATATACATGCATACACACATACATATAAATAATATCGTACACATTCAAACACATAGACAAAAATACGTTCCGTTTAGCGAATCTATTTTTAAAATTTTTATTAAAAAAAAAAAAAAAAAATTCAGAATTTTTTTTTTTTTTTTTTGTTTTAGAAGTTTTTTCTTGTTTTTTTGAATTTCTCCGAATATTTCTAGCACTTTTTTATTTGATTAAATAATTTATTCATTTATTTATGTATAGGAATTTTTTTGCCTTAAATAAAAAATAAAAAAAAAAAGATATATAGTGAAAATTTTCCGTTAATTTTTTTTATATTTATTTTATTTTATTTTTATTTATTTATTTTTTTTTTTGGCTTTCACGGTACTTTCTACTTTCAAATTCGTCAACGTTATGAGGAAATACTCCGTGTTTATAATTATATTCTCTTTCAAGAATGATCGTCGAAGTCGTCTTTGTCTTCGTTTTGCCAGTGCATACTATTTTGCGTTTAGTAAAACTCACGCACTTAAAAACAAAATACAAAAAAAAATAATAATAATGAAGATATACTAAATGAAATTTTCATTCCTTTCTGGTTACAAATCATTCCTGATTTTCACAAAATAAGAAAACAGAAAAATCAAATTAACCGACACATACACACACATGCTTAGCTTTTAGAAAAAGCTAAAAACAATTAATTGTTTTTTTCAAAATTTTTTTCTTTACTCTTACTTTTTATTCTATCTTGAAAACGCACTCGCGCGCTCTCTCTCTCTCTCTCTCTCTCTCTCCCTCTGTCTCTTTTCTCTCTCTTTCGCTCTTTTTTCTCTTGTGTTCTTATTTGAAATGAAATAAAAGAAAGAGACAGAAAACTTCATTTCGTGTACAGTGTAAACACTCTTACCCTCAGCATCACTCTTTGTCACGAGCATATTTTAATTACTTACACATAAGCGCAGATCACTTAATATGCTCATTAGCTCTTATAAACGCATACATATTCATATTCATATTCATAAACAAAACACATGGTTGCTTTTAATACTTTTGGGGTTAAAGGTAAAGTTGTCTCTGCTACGTACGATATTGTTATTGTTTTCCTTTTGAAAAACAAATAACCCGTTAATAGTGGTGGAGGAGGAGGAGGAGGAGAAGGAGATTTTTAATTCACATCTTTACATCTTCACCTTCTTCGCGCACGCTCACTCAACACTGTTACACTTTCTCTCTCCCGCTCGCCGCTCGCCACTCGCCGCTCGCCGTAATGAATTATCTTTGCGCTTTTTTAGGATTCTAACAGACATCTGTTTTAAATTTAACATCCACTGAGTATAACGTGCGGGAAAAAACTAAACGCTCAATGTGTCACGCAACAACGGTAAGTTCTAAGTAGCAAATGATACGTTAACTACAAATTTTAAGTATTAATAAATTATTTATGGTAAGATGATGTACGTTTTAATGAACTCTCTTCTTTTCTATTTTTATATAGTGGCATAAGAATTTAATAATAAATGTTTATCACTCCTGTTTTTTTTTTTTATTTTTGCCTTAATTATGCTCACTATGGCTATACATATCGTAGGGTATTATATGTTTCAATAATGATCGTCAGCTTGCGACTTGTTGTTGTTTGTTTGTCAGTTCTTGTTGTTGGTTACTTTATATTATTATATATTTGAAATTTGCTTCAATTTTTTTTTATACCCAAAAATAAAGGTATGCTAGTTTTCCCTTTTCGTTTGCAACACACGAGTGAAAAAAGTCTAAATATTCGATAAACCTAAGATTTCATACTTGCATCCTTACTTTCTTACTTTCAGAGAGGAACGAGTTAAGTCAGTAGAGTGCTATTATTTGGATACAATCACAACAT